CGGTCTTCTGCAAGAACAGTCAGTGCTCTTAACCACTGAGCCATCTCTCCAGCCCCGGGCTTATTTTTAAAAATTTATTTAATTATTATTATTAGAGAGAGAGAGAGAGAGAGAGAGAGAGAGAGAGAGAGAGAGAGTGTGTGTGATGTATCTAATATGTGTGTAGTGTGTCTGATATGTGTGTGTGTGATACAGGCATACTCATGCCATACTGTGTTTGTGGAAGTCAGAGGACAACTTTTGGGAGCAGTTCTTTCCTTCCAGTGTTGGATCTGGGGATCAAACTCAGGTTGCCAGGTTTGTGTGGCAAGCACCTTTACTCACGGAGCCATCTCACAGGTATCTAAAGACTTCTTGTTAAATATATTAGTAATTATGTATATACTTTCCCTCCTATCCTCCCCACTAGTCCAGTGTTTCCTGAATTGCTTCCCAGACCTTACAGATTATCAGGAAGAAACATGAGATTGAATCCAAATCCACAGCCATAGTTGTTTCCTGTTCTTCCTTAGACTTAGACTCTAAACATTAGGTGCTTTGCTTAGTTGCAAAGTACTTGCCTAGTATATGTGAGGCCATGAATTCGATACCTGCTACCACTTCAAAAAGAAAAGGAATCTAAATCTTAAAACCTTTCCCATACTCCAGAGGAGGAAAGAGAGTAGAGAACTGAGAAAAGAGATTCCAGATATATTCAAATACAGGAAACTAGCTGGGCATCGTAACAACTTTCTTTAGTCCTAGCACTTAACTTGGAAGGCAGAGGCAATCACTATGAGACTGACGCCAGCCTGGTCTACATAGTGAGTTCCAGGCCAGCTGGGGCTACAGGGAGATCCTATCTCAAAAAAAAAAAAAAAAAAAAAAAAATCTGTCTCCGTCAAATACATGAAACTAAGAAATACGAAATTCATTTAAGGGATTTCATTTTATTTTTATTTTAATGGATTCTGGGTAACCTGAGAAATTTATAGGGAAGAAGAATTAGGAAAGAGATGCAATCCTAGCACTTGGGAGGCTGAGGCAGGAGGATTTCAAGTTTGAGGCCAGATTAGGCTAAAAATAAAAAGGGCCGGGCGTGGTAGTATATGCCTTTAGTTCCAGCACTCAGGAGGCAGAGGCAGGCAGGCAGAGATCTCTGTGAGCTCTCCAAAAAAAAAAAAAAATTCAAGAGAAATTTTTATACAGCACTACATAGATTTGAAGAGAATAAAGATGAAATATTCCTCTTTCAAACATATATATAAAATGAGTAACACAAACATACATATTTGACAGGAAGATATCAGTATATGTACAGATATACAGTGTATATATATTAGCAACCAACAAATATGTATGGAGCTTTATTCCTTAAGGATGTAAACAGAATGAACACTACACAAACTAATACCTGTTTGGTTCTATAAACATTCACCCCTGCTCTGATGAAATATTTGTGCTTAAGTCTACCTAAAAGTCTCTTTGAGTCCATGAGAAGGCAACAGAAATCTTTCCACACCCTCTAACATTCCATTAGATAAGCCAAAGATCCCTGTCCCTGTCTGCACCACGTTTTTTCTTAAAGAACAGCTACAACATTCAGAGTGGGTAAAAAATCTTCCTGCTACGTCTTGAAACTCCTCTTCTTCAGTACTATGTGCACTGAAATGCCAAGGCTATCCTCTGGCAAATGTAGGTAAGGCTGTCTGTCTCTCTCCAGGCTGTCTATTCTCTCAATCATAGTTTAAATTCTCAGGCAGCCTCGGGTTAATCATAAAGACTCCAGGGATCCTTGCTAAGCCTGACTATCAGCAGAGTTCCAAGAACCAGCTCAAAAGGCAAGATCCAAAGAATCACAGAGCCTTCTGCCTTAATCCCAAGGCATGTTATCTCCCAAGATTCCTCTGTGGGATGGGTAGGGTAGGTAGGGTCTCAGGTCTAGAAGCACACACCCAACTCTTGATGAACTGTGAGCTTTCACTGACTACTTCGGATTTCAGCTATCTGGTGGCTTGGTTAAGAAGTAAGGCGAGGGAGAATGCAAGCAATTAATCAAAATGACAAAATAACCTTGTGGGGAGTGGGCCAGGGGGCAAGGTCTAAGGTGACAATACTATCCCCAGGGAAATTGGTACCTCAGCAGGAAGTCAAAGTAGCTTCATTTTACAAGGAAATAAACTTGTAAGACTGATTTGTTTTTATTTCTCCTGCCTTCTCAGGCCTCACAAATCCAGACTGTAAATTCCTTTAACTCCAGAACCAGGTGCGAAGAAAAGGCTCCAAAAGAAGTGGTGGAAAAGGGAGAGGCCAGAAAGGGGAGAGGGGAATCCAGTTCCCCTCTTAAAGGAGAATGCTAAAACCAAGGGCACTCCCGGGATCCCCAGAAAAGGAAGTAGTTAGATTCCCAAAAAGTTTTTTTCCCCTACCTTCTTGTTGTTCTTGTTATAGCCAAAAGTCGAAATCCCAGGCCTAGAAGTCACTGATAGCAGCATTTTTTCTTTAATGTTAGGAAGCTGAGAGAGAGAAGAGGAAAGGGAGGGGGGAAAGAGGGAAGGAGGAGGGAAGAGGGAGGGAAAGAGGGAGGGGAGGGGGAAGGGAGGGAGGAGAAAAGGAGGAGAGAGAGAGAGAGAGAGAGAGAGAGAGAGAGAGAGAGAGAGAGAGAAAGTGTGAGTGAGAGAGGGGGGGGGTGCAGGGAAGAATGAGCTAGGTCTGCTCCTCTGCGTCACTGAGAGAAGTTAACCCAGAGTCAGGACAAGCAACTCACACTGGGTCCTAATGCCCAAGATGTTCTCTTTTGGTTTGTTTTACATAGGTTTACTAAAGCTAGAAGAGGAGAGAGAGAGAGAGAGAGAGAGGGGGGGGGGGAGAGGGGGAGGGGAGAAGGAGTGTAGAGAGAGAGAGACAGAGAGAGAGAGAGAGAGAGAGAGAGAGAGAAAGGGTGAGTGAGAGATGGGGGGGCTGCAGGGAAGAATGAGCTAGGTCTGCTCCTCTACGTCACTGAGAGAAGTTAACCCAGAGTCAGGACAAGCAACTTCCACTGGGTCCTAATGCCCAAGATGTTCTCTTTTGGTTTGTTTTACATAGGTTTACTAAAGCTAGAAATAAGAGTTCTTAAGTCTAACCCCTTTCAAATGTATCCCCTTTCATCCATGAACCAGTTCAACTTCTGATTATCATGAAGAGACATTCATCTTATTATCCATGAAAAGAGAAAGTTTTGTTGTTGTTGTTTTGAACATTTCTTTCTCTTAGATCTTAGCTACAAGATTTTAAGCATGGGGGGCTGGAGAGGTGCTTGGGGGTTAAGAGCACTCATTCTTCCAGAGGACCCAGGTTTGATTCCCAGCACTCACATGGTGACTCTGTCACCCTCTTCTGGCCTTCATGGGCAGTGCACACATACTAGGTGTACATACGGGCAAGCAGAATACTTGTATACATAAAAATAAATCATTTGGGCTTTGGCCTGTAAGATGCCTCAGTGGGTAAAGGTGCTTGTTACCAAGCCCGAGTTGGAGCACCAAGATCCGCACGGAAGAATGAGAGAAAATTGTCCTCTGACCTCTACATGGGGAGGAAGTGGCTCACCCATACCCTCTAATACAAAATATAAGAAGATTTCAAGCTTGATGTTAAGGGACTGTCTTTTAGAGCATATGAAGAAAACCATACTAAGGTACAGTATGTGAGATGAGCTCAGAGCTTCTACTTTATATTTAGGGTGATCTTAATACATTAAGAAAGAACATGGGCCAGGCATAGTGGTGCATAGTGTAAACTTGTAATTCCAGCACTCAGGAAACAGAGGCAGGAAGATCACCAAAAGTTTGAAGTCAGCCTTGTCTACATAGCAAATTCCAGGACACAGAGTAAGAACCGATTTCAAAAAAGGGAACCAGTTGTGGTGGCCACCAGTAAGATATACTGAAGAGGCTGAGGCAGGATGATCTCAAGGTACAGACCAGCCTAGGCTACATCTTTTGGGCAAGATGCTTTAACCTGAAGACCTGGGTTCGATTTCCAGGACACAGATAGTTGAAGAGAGAACAGACTTCTGCAAGTTTTCCTCTGACCGCCACAAGTGCTGTGACATGCATGCCATGCCCCTAATACCCTCCATACACAGGATAAATAAAATGAAATAAAAGAAAGAACAAAGAAAGAATGCACCAAAGAGCAAAGTTTAAAATCTAACGGGAAATAATTTCAGATCCTTTGTTCTGTTTCTCCTAGGGTTACCCTCACCAGCTAAAATGCCAGCATTCCTATTTCAGACTCTCCTAGCAAGGACTTCATACTTAAGAAGGCATTATCAGCTGGGCATGGTGAAGCCAGCCTTTAATCCCAGCTCTCAGGAGCCAGAGGCAGGAGAAGCTCTGTGAAATCAAGGCCAGCAGGAGCCACAGGGAAATCTTGTCTTTAAAAAAAGGTGAAGAGGGATGGTATTATCAGTCTGAACTATTCATGAACTTGGGTGCTTAGTGATTTCTTTAATAAGTGGAAGCTTATTAAATCCACTGATCAAATCCAAAGGCCTCAGGCACACTCGACAAGTGCTCTTTAACTGAGCTATACCTTCAGCCAAAGTGGAAGCTATCCTGTTGAATTTATTATTATTACAATTATTTATTTGAGTCAAGGTCTTACTCTGTAGTCTGTAATGACCCCAGACTCATTATTTTCAGGATTACCAGCATGCACATACAGTACTATACCCATTTTGTTTGTTTTTTGGCAGTGCTGGAGATCACACACTGTCACTGAGCCATATCCCCAGTCCTTCCAGCCTATATTTGATACTTTTCTGATTTTTTTGTTTGTTTTTTGAGACAGGGTCTCATGTAGCTCAGCCTGGTCTATAACTCTGTGTATCAGAAAATGGAACCCCTGATTCTTATGCCTCTCCTCCCAAGATCTAGGATTACAGAAGTGTACCACCAGGTCCAGCTCTGACTTTTTAATCCCACTATTTTCTAGTCTTTAAGATCCATGAAATTTATACAAATACAATAACTCACCAAACTTGGAATTTATAATCAAGCTGAAGTTTACAGAGTTGGGCTGTCGGCTTCAGGTTATCTCTGAGCTGTAAAAAACAAACAACGACAACAAAACATAATTATTTAAAAAGCATGTTTACAAAGAAGAAAAATACAAGATTTCTTAGGAAAGAAGAATATAACTTGAGTCAAGAATCCCACAGAGTTGCAGTAACACTCACCTCTAATAGTTTCAAAGGAATGCCCTCATAGGAGTAGTCTTAACAAGAATAGAAACCTCAGGAAACAAAACTTAAGAATGATATCAAGGAAGCCTTACCGGTACAAGAACAGAGATGTAGGCTGGAGGCCTTCAGATCCTTCCTAAGGTCTCCTCGCTGCCATCACACGTATTCTCCAGAAGCAAATTAACCCAGTCTTTGTCACCACAAACATTAAGCCCAAATTCTCCCTCCAGTAAAGTTCTGCTCTCTAGTCTGGTTTTCCCGTCACTATTTCACTGTGATAACGGAACAGACAGTACTAACATTCTGCGGCGTAAATACACACACACAGCCACCCCCAATCTCTAACTTTCATTTCCAATAGGACAGGAAGTGCCTGCTCAACTCAAGGGACACAGGAAGGGTGGGAACAGCCTCAATGTGGGAATTGCAACTGAGAATGGAAACAGCAGCCAAATACAGTAAATAAATAAATAATAGCATCTCTTAGGGATGCTGTATTTCTCGAAAACTTCCTTTTCCGCCCTTAGAAACTTTCATTCATCATATGCCAACTCATTCTTGCTGTTTTAGACTGGTCATCCCAAACAGTACTAAGTGGTATCTTACTGTGGCTATTGTTTTTTCATTGTTTTATTTTAATATAAACTACCAGGGTAAAACTATAAAGCTATACATTGGAATATAACTATAACTACATATATATAATAATTGAATCAACATATCCATCACCTCAAAAACTTATTTTTTATAGTGGGGACATTTAAAATTTATTCAGTAATTGTGAAATGTACAGTTCACTATTAGTGAGTATTTGCAACACAGTGTACAACAGGCCTCAAACCGCCAGTCCTCCTAGGATTTTGTACTTTTTAGCCATTATCTCCCTATTTGCCGCTCTCCAGTCTCTCTAGCCACCGTTCTACTTTCTGCTATGAGGTTGATTGTTGCAGACTCCATGTATGGGTAAGAATATGTAGTGTTCGTCTCTGTGCTTAGCTTGTTTGGTCAGCATCATGTTCTCCAATTCTAGCCATGTAGTCATAAAGTGAAAGAAAATTTTAAATAGTTTAGAATACTGATTCTCATTCTTTAAAAATTTATTTATTATTTGTGTGTGTTTACATGCTCACATGTGCCATGTTGTGTGAATGTGGAGGTTTCACGAGAGTCCATTCTCTCCTTCCACCGTGGGTCCTGCACCTCAAACTCAGGTTGTCAGACTTTCATGGCAAGTGCTTTTACCACCGAACCGTCTCACTGAGCTAGCAGGAATTCTTTTTTTTCTCAAAGGCTCGATAGTATTCCATTTGTGTACATATACCATATTTGTTTATTTTCCTGTTAGTGGACATTTAGGTTGATTCAGTGAATGTGGGAATGCAAACATCTCTTCAACAAACTGATAAAGTTTAAAAAAAATTTGCAAGTGTTTCTTTCTGATAATGCTATATTCTGAACATACAAAGGGTACAAAATGAATTTTTTTCCAGAATATTTCAAAGGATGGTGCCAGTCTATCATTGTCTACAAAGCACCTTCACATACTGTTACTGTAGGTCATTTTGTCTCTTTTTAAAAATATTTTATTTTTATTTTATGTGTATAAGTGTTATGCCTGCATGTAGGTAAATGCACCCATGTCATGCAATGCCTGCGGAGGACAGAAGAAGCTGTTGGATCCCCTAGAACTACAGACAGTTGTTACAGGAGTTACAGACAGTTAGTTGCCATGTGGGTGCTGGGATTCGAACCAGAGTCTTCTGCAAGAACAGTCAGTGTTCTTAACCACTAAGCCACCTCTCCAGCCCGTCATTTTGTCTCTTAATTAAAGTAAGATACCATATGTCCATAGTTTTGGCCTGTACTAAAATGGGGGAAAGAGGGTCCCCTAGAGGGTTCTTAGTCTCATTCATAAAAGAATTGAAGAATGGACAAAAACAGCAGAAAGCACACAGACTTGCAGAGACCTACATAACTGTGGGTGAGAAGTTCTTTGGAGTTCTGTGTCACAAGGTGGTGAGATTCCAGGCAGGAAAAATTTGCTACCTCATTAACATACCAGGCATTCTGCCCATCTGCTTAGCATAACTTAAGGTGAACCTGCCTTCCTAGGCGTGGTTCTATCACCATAAAATTTTTTTTTTTTGAGACAGGGTCTTGTTATGTGGCTGGCCTGGAACTCACTATGCATTCTAGGCTAGTCTTTGACTCATGGCAATTCTCCAGCCTCTGCCTCCAGGATTTTGAATGTATTCATCATAAATAAATGTTTGAAGGGCTAGATATGCTTAACCTGGTCTAAATATTATACAGTGTATACATATATAGACATTGAATGGTATTCATTAGTATGTATGATATTCACACATCTATGCAACAATTACAGATTAAGAAAGCTTGGTGGTGGCTCATGTTTGCCAGCCCAGCATTCAAAAAGCCAGGAATGTTTGAGTCTGAGAACAGCCTAGTGAGGTGCTAAGGGCTGGGGATGGGGACTAGGTATAGACAAATTGCCTAGGCTGTTCTTAAACTCCTGGGTTTAAGAGATCCTTCTGTTTCAACCTCTTAAATCCTGACACTTCAGGTATACAACATTCTCTTCAGTTTCATCTAGGTTTTTGTTTTGTTTTGTTTTTGGTCTTTTTGAGACAGGGTCTCCTTGTAGCCCCAGCTGTCCTGGAACTCACTATGTAGACCAGGCTGGCTTTGAACTCACAGAGATCCACCTGCCTCTGCCTCCCAAGTGCTGGGATCAAAGGCATGCGCCACCACGCCCGGCTGTTGTTTGTTTTTTGAGAAGGGTCTCCTTGTACCCACAGCTGGCTTGGAACTCACCATATAGACCAAGTTGGCCTTAATATTTATACTACCTTTTATTTTTTTTAAATACATCATATCCCAAAGTTGTCCCAGCTGACCTAGAAATTAGGATTAGGAGTTGGAGGCCAGCCTCAGCTACCTAATGAGTTGGAGACCAGCCTAGGCTACAAGAGACACAACCTCCCCCACTTTCACACACACACACACACACATACACGTACATACACACCTTTGCTGTCCATGACATGATGGCACTTGTGTATAAGCCCACCATTTAGGAAGCTGAAGCAGAAGGACACCCATAAACGTGAGGCCAGCCTGGCCTATGTAGCAAGTCCTGGGAATGTAAATCAGTTGATAGAGTTCTTGCTTACCACACATGAAGTCCTACATAGCAAGACCCCTGTCTCAAAACAAAACAAAACAAAAAAGAAAAAAAATACACTTTCAATAAATATTCCAAGTAAAGCTTGGTTGGAGTTAGATCAACCTTGATCTGTTTGGTGAAAGATTGTTTGTATATCACTACTGGCCCCCTTACATTAAGGTGTAGAACTTAGATGAATGTATTTCTGCAGATGTGCTGGACTGTAGCCAGACATTGCACTGAGGCTGGTATGCAAGTGGTTGAAAGTAGTAAGACAGGTCAGTGAAGATCTCACTCAATACAGTCAGACACCAGGTGAACAAAGACCATCAGAGCCAAGGCTGTTCACCCTCGACACACACTCCTACCTGCTTGCCTCCACTTCCAGTATAGAAACTATACACATACACACATATACATATGCATACAACATACATACATATACAAAAGGGGGAGCTGGAGAGCTGGTTCAGTGGTTAAGAGGGCTTACTGCTCTTACAGAGGACCTGAGTTTGGTTCCCATCTCCCACAATTGCCTGTAACCCCAGCTCCAGGGATCCAATGCCTCTTCTAGCCTCTACAGGCACTAGCATGCACATGGTACACATACACTCATACATAAATAAAAATAAAAACTGCTGGGCATGTTGGCACATGCTTTAATCCCAGCACTTGAGAAGCAGAGGCAAGCAGATCTCTGTGAGGTGGAAGCCAGCATGGTTTACATAGTAAGTTCCAGGCCAGAGAGGGCAACATAGTGAGATCTGGGCATTTAATCCCAGCACTCTCCTGGGAGGCAGAGACAGGTGGATGGATCTCTGTAAGATTGAGGCCAGCCTGATCTACATAGGCAGCTCCAAGCCAACTGGGGCCATAGGGAGACTGTCTCAAAAAGACCAATTAAATAAATAGATAATAAATAAATAAATAAATAAATAAAACTTAGACACACACACACACACACACACACACACACACACAAGAATGGATGTGGGCTAGTGAGTTGGAAAAAGACATGTGCAAAAAGGCTTTTTTTTTGAGACAGGACCTCACTATGGAGCCCAGGCTAACCTTAAACTAATGTTGATCTTCCTGCCTTAGCCTCTAGAGTGCTGGGACTACATGTGTGAATATCCACACAGCTAGGAAGCTAGAATTTCTCATTCAATTCTATCCTATTTCCTTATAAAATTAACTTCTGGTGCTGGAGAGATGGCTCAGTGGTTGGGAGCACTTATTGCTCAATTGTGTTCAGATCCAAACACCCACATAACAAGCATACTCATAGGGAGACAGGTGCATACACAGAGGTACACACAGAAATCTTTAAAAAATAGTATCTGATATGTATACTGGATCAGAAATAATAAAAGGATAATTCTAGGACTTGATAGATGAAAGGTCAACTATCTTCCTCAAACCAACATTTTATTTATTTAAATTTCTTTTGGTCCTGGAGATCAAACCCAGAGCCTTGTACTTACTAGGTAAATGCAGTGCTGGTGAGCTATATCTTCAGCCCTCAAAACAAAATTTTATCTCAAGTAGCAATGATATACAATATTCTAACCTATTATTTTTAAAAATTTATTTATTTATTTATTTATTATTTATTTATTTATTTATTTGTATTCATTGAGACAGGGTCTCCCTGTAGCCCCAGTTGGCCTAGAACTTACTATGTAGACCAGGCCTGCCTTGTCCTGGAACTGGAGTTATGGACAGTTGTTAGCTGCCATGTGGGTGCTGGGATTCGAACCTAGGTCTTCTGCAAGAACATTCAGTGTTCTTAAACCACTGTACCATCTCTCCAGCCCCTCTAACCTATTCTTAATTTTCAGTATTGGCTAGTATTTCTAGGGACAAACTTACAGTGTAAATAACAAAGGATTTGTGGAAAACTTCATTGCTGGGTTGGTGAGATGACTCAGAAGGTGAAGGTACTTGCTGTCAAGCCCAACTACCCAAATTTGATCCTCCAAACCCACATGGTGGAAGAAGAGAACTTAATCTTACAAGTTGTTCCCTAATAGCCACACATCTGCTGTGATACACTTATGTGCATCTGTGCGCGCATGCGCATATACACATGCACGCACATGCA